CACGGCTGGTGCGAGGGGATATTCCCTGGTGTGGTCTACTCCTCAGAGCAGCACAAAAAAAGTGTTGAATACGTGGTCTCAGATGGACTATGCAAATAAACAGGCTCTCCCCTCGCTCAGTCTCTCTCTCTCTCTCTTGTTCTGCTGCTTTCGTTCTCTCTCTCTCTCTCTGTCTCTCCTTGTTTCTCTCTCTCTCTCTCTCTCTCTCTCTTTCTTCGAAGAGAAACCACACACATTTCTCTTATATGACAAACACTGAGGACTCCACTTCTACTTCTCTCGCTCCCCACAGCCCCCGCCCAGTGCTAACGATACTGTTCGGCGGTCCCCCACCCCTAGGTGAATCGATGAATTCCTTGATTTGGGTGCTACTGAAAAAGCCCAGGGGGGGGTCGATGATTTGGGTTCAGGGCTACCACGACAACAACGACCACGATCAACACCGCAGGCAGGACCGCGGCCACTTCGCCCACGACGACCACGGCCCTCGACGACGCGTCGACCGACACCCGCCTCCGCCTTCCCCTCCTTGCCCCTTGCCGACCGCGACTGCTTGAGGTTCGCCCCCACCTGTATGTTGCTCTCATCGTACTTAAGGGCCACATCCCTGAATTAATTTCGAGCGCCCGGAAAAATGTCGCTCCCAGGGCCCGACACGTGAAAACCATAGAGTTTCAGTACTTTTTTGGTGCTCGAACGTCTTTCTGGTGAGCAAAGCTAAAGTAGGTTGGAATATCATAGCCCCAGCTCCTCCTCCTCCTCTTCCTCCTCCTTCTCCTCCTCCTCCTCCTCCTCCTCCTCCCCCGCTCCTTGTGAATAGCTCCTCCCTGCCGCACCCCCAGACGTGCCGGTAGCATGTGCTGGGCGTTTCGCCTGAGACTTCTTCACCACTGTGATCCCGAAGCTTGACAACTGCAACAACTTCAAGGATGGAGGTCGGCCCGTTTTCGACATGCGCCTCGGCTTGCAACCGTTTCAAAGATGGAGGGATGCCCGTTTTCATCGTGTGGCTCTCACCTTCGAGCCGCGCACATTCGTCTTAGAAGTTTGCAGCAGCTTCAAGGATGGAGGACGGGCCGTTTCCAAACTGCGGCCCTCGCCTCCACGCAGCGCACGTTCGTCGTAAACTTTTCAGAATGTGGCTCTCGCACAGGCGCCGCGCACATTCGTCTTAGAAGTTTCCAGCAGTTTCGAGGTTTCGTATGGTTTGAAGTCCCAGGTTGTGTTCTGGCATGGTTTAGGGTTCAGGACTCTCAGGACGCAACAGTCACATGGACTCGCGGCGTTTAAGTCCGTGGAGTGGTGTTCTGGCGCGATCTAGGCTTGTCAGGACGCAGCATTCACGCTGATTCGCGGCGTTGACATCCCAATAATGGTATTTTGGCACGACTGGGAATTCTCAAATGGCTGTCGTCCAATGAGGCACTCTCCGCCATGAAAAACAAATCCGGTGGGGGCCTATAAAAAAGAAAATTGGAGGGAGTGGTTTTGTTGCGACATCGTTGGTACGTCTTGGGTTTACACTGGTCCGCCTCCTCCTCCTCCTCATCATCATCATCCTCCTCCTCATTGCCTCATGGGGGCGTGGGCCAGGCCTGGGCCCGAAAACGTCCCGAGTGCGGCGCGCTGGCAGGCTGTGCAGGGCTGGCATGGGCCCGATCGAGACCCCTAAGATGAGGAGGAGTAGCATCAGGTCGGGCATGTCCTCCTACAGGGGGATTTTGGACGAAACATGAAACACACCCAAAACAAAAACCCAAATGGAAAAACATTGTCAAATTACCCTGGCGACGTACCCAACCCCTGCGCAAAAGCGGGGCGCAAATAGTTTAGGATACTTTATAAGGGGGCGATGACGGAGCGAGGGTTACATATGTCTGCAGACGGAATTCGGGAGACTCGCAGGACACTGGCTACAGGAAAAGGGCTTGATAAAGCTGATGATTTACAATTCCTGAGCACTCCTAGCCACTTCGAAAACGGGGATCACAGCAGGCCTCGAAAGTGGCGACAGGTTCACAGATCGCAGCCCCGCAGGGACGGCGAGGTCTCATTTGAATCTGCCCGTGGCCCTCACTGTGCTGGGCCCCCCAGCAGGCCTCGAAAATGGCGGCAGTTTCGCAGATCGCAGCCCCCCAGGGATGGCGAGGTCTAATTTGAATCCGCGCGTGGCCCTCACTGTGCTGGGCCCCCCAGCAGGCCTCGAAAGTGGCGACAGTTTCACAGATCGCAGCCCCCCAGGGAGGGCGAGGTCTAATTTGAATCTGCCGCGATTACCCTCTATGCTGGACCCCCCAGCAGGCCTCGAAAGTGGCGACAGTTTCACAGATCGCAGCCCCCCCCCCAGGGATGGCGAGGTCTAATTTGAATCTGCCGCGATTACCCTCTATGCTGAGCCCCCCAGCAGGCCTCGAAAGTGGCGACAGTTTCACAGATCGCAGCCCCCCAGGAATGGCGAGGTCTAATTTGGATCTGCCGCGATTACCCTCTATGCTGGACCCCCCAGCAGGCCTCGAAACTGGCGACAGTTTCACAGCCCCCCGCAGGCAAGACAGAAAGAGGCAGGAAAGAGGCGGGAGGCGGGAGGAGGAAGGACGCGACCACACTGCTCTATTCAAAACGAATACCCAACCAAGGAGGGTTGGGAAAAATCGTCCCCAGACTATTTTTAAGTTATGTGTGAACATTCCCCCTGTAGAGGGACAGGCCCGACTTAAGGGCAGCAGAAGGGGGGAGGGAGGCAGAAAAAGGAGGAGTGGAAAAGGAGGGAGAAGGAGAAGGGGGGAGGTGGAGGATGGGAAGGACCGACGGAGAGGAGGGAAAGCAAATGGGGAGGAGCGAACGTGCCGTTGCGGACGCCATCCTCCCCAATCTCACGCGGGCCCCGCCAGAGAGTCTGGACCGCAGCCTCAGGGCGCCGCGAGCCGCACGAAGGACGGAGGAGGACGAGGAGGAGGAGGAGGAGGAGGAGGAGGAGGTGGAGGTGGAGGTGGAGGTGGAGAAGGTGGAGGAGGAGAGGGACAAAGGTGAAGAGATGGGGGAGGAGGAGGAGGAGGAGGAGGAGGAGGAGGAGGAGGAGGAGGAGGAAGTGGACTATGAAGGAGTTGGGGAGATTGGGATGGCCCGGAGGGCTTCAAGGGTGAGCCAGGGAGGCTCCAGGAGGCTCCAGGAGGTTTTCGGGAGGCCCTGAGGTGGATCCTTCCCGCCTCGTCGCCGTCCCCCTCCCCGTCGGCTGCCCCTCCGAGGAGGGGGGACGGCGAGGGGGAGGGGAAGCCAGCGCCACTGGGCCTCCACGGGGCCCCTTCCTGCCCTTCGCGCCCTGAGAGGAATGCTTATATTGGGGGGAAACGGGCCCCGAACCCTGGCCTTCACCCAAGACTTCTTCATGCTGGATCGTTTCCTGACAGTCCTGGGCCCGTGGAAGGCCTCGAGAGCCCGAACACGCCGAACAACCTCAGGACCGTTTCCCTCAGGACCGAGATTGGGGCAATCAAAAGGTACCGATACCGCTACTCCCCGGGCCTCTCCTGGGGTGCGTTCTGACTAGAATTTCGAGGCGAATCCAGCGATGGCGCCGAGGGCCTCCCAGGAGTCCCTAAGAAGGGAAACGAGAAAAGGGCAGAGGTATGTGGATACATTGCCCTCCTCTGAAATTCCCCCCTGGCGAGATGCGCACGCCCTCCCGGGCGGAAGCAAGGGCGCCAGCATCCGGGGGGGGCGTCTGTGGAGGCCTCCTAAGTGAGGTCCGAATAGATGGGGTCGACGGAGCTCGCCGCATCGCCGATACATCGGCGATGCATCGCCAATGCATCGGCGATGCATCGGTGATGCACTGGCGACGTCGGCGATGCATCGGCCACGTCGGCGTGGAGAAAATTGGGCCCCATATCCAGCCGCATCGCCGATGCATCGCCGATGCATCGGCGTCCCCGATGCGGCGCGATCCTCCGACCCCATCTGCTCCGGCACCATCTGGGGGGCCTAGGGTCAGGTCGGGCATACCCCCTTACACGGGGATTTGGGACGAAAACTGAAAAAATACCCCCCAAAACTAGAAAATAGCTAAAAGTAGTAAAACAATCGTCCCCAGACTATTTCTTCTTCACTATTTTGGAATACTCCTCCTGTCGAGGGACAGGCCCAGCTTCAGCCCAGGGTCCGGGCCCCGAGCTCGGGCCTGCGGAGGCCCGGTGGCGGCCACGGCCTGCCGTGCGGAGGCCGGGGGGGGGGGCAGAGGCCGGGGCCCTCGGGGGCGAGGGGGCCTCTCCGAGGTCCCCCGGCGTCTGGCCTCTCAGAAGGCCTCCTCGGTAGGGTCCGAGCAGATTTGGGTCCGGCCTGTCCCCCCCTGCAGGGGGATAAGATAAGAAGCATCCAAAAAATGATCAAAAGAGGCCCGGAAATATGCAGAAAATTGTCCCCTGACTTTTTGTTTGCCTATTTTGGAACATTCTCCCTGTAGAGGGACAGGCCCGACTTCACGAGAGGGTCCGAGCAGATGGGGTCGGAGGATCGCGCCGCATCGCCGATACATCGGCGATGTATCGGGGATGCACCGGCGATGCGTCATCGACGTGGGCGATGTATCGGCGACGCTGGCGTGCGGAACATCGGGCTCCACACCGAGCCCCATCGTCGATGCCTCGGCGATGCGGCGCGATCCTCCGACCCCATCTGCCCCGACCCCATCTAGGCCTAGAATCTCTGGGGGCCCTTTCTGGGCCCTGGGGCCGTCTGAGAAAGACACTTGTCGTGTTGGAAGGAAGGGTGTGGGAAGATCCAGGGTACGACTATGTCACAAGCACCTTCAGCATATGCAGCAATATTGGTGGTCTGAAAACGCATCTCAGCCCCATCCTCTCAACCCGAAGATTGTCTTTCTGACCGTCAAGGGATACACCAGGGCTGAAATAATGGTCCAGGGGGGTCCCTTGGGTCTGGGGCCCGTTTCCTTCAGGACCACTGCAGCTCATGCCAATGGGTGGCTGCCCTCTCCCAGTGTCCGGTGTCTCTATCTTCTTGTCTCGCAGGAACTGGAGCAGCAGATCGAAGATGGCGGGGTCGACGTCGAGGAAGACGTTGCCCTGGGCGTCTTTCTGCAGCTGCCTCTCCCAGCGACCGCTGAAGAGCTCGGCCAGGAAGGAGCCCTGGCAGCAGAGCGTCAGCTATGCACCAATCTGTATCCTGACCAGCGCCCTCCTGGCCTGGCCAGGAAGGCGAACACTGCAATCCTGGGTCCAGGGTGTGTCTGGCCAGGGCCGATGCTGGCATATTGTATTGCGCCCTGCGAACCCCCGGACTGAACTTCGTGTTTTTTTTTCGCGGCGCGGCTCTACAAATGTAGACGCCCGAAATGGATACGGAAACAATGGGCACGATGCTCAACAGCAAATGTTGCCCAGAAGCGACAGCGGTCGCTGTTGGGCAAGCGGCCTTCCGCCTCGGATGGATAACGTCCGCGGCGAGGCCGACCGCGAATTCTCTTCAAACTGGACAAGAAGCGCTGTCGGTCTTTGTGCCCATTGTTTCCGTACCGCTTCGATCGTCCCGAACAGAACCCTCGACTGATTCCCCAAGGGCTGGCTCTTCGCTGCGGGCTGCTTGCTGCCGGTTCCAGGGCCCCAGGCGGGCCCCCAGAGGCCAAGACGTTGCAGAAAGACGGGCCGTCTGGATATGCTGCTTGATGCTATAACTCCGAAGCGCTGTATTCCTTGAAGCTCGAGGCCCCTCGCTTGTAGGGTAGTCGAGGTACCACTCATATTGAAAGACAGCCCAGTTGGTACACAGAAGTGTTGAACTGGCTACGGTCAAGATCTTGGGCTTAGCGCGACACGCTATCCGCGTCCCCATTTCCAAGCGTCCACGTCTCGAGCCGTTCCCGGCCTACCGCCCCGCGGAGCGCAGTGACACGCTGCCCGCTCGCAAGGCAGAACCTGTCGCCAGGGCCGCCGCCGCGACACGCTGGTCAAAGGCTCCCCACCGTAATCAAAGGACGCCCGAGGGCTGGATAGCTGGCGCCCGCTGGCCTGGCACACGCAGAGCGTCTCGCGTTTCACGGTGCAGAGCCGCCCTCCAGCGTTGACGGTGACCACGTCACTGGACCGCGCGCTGGCTGTGTCACCGTGCAGCGCGTCGCGCTCCTCGAAGACCTCCTCAGGGGGAGCAGAAGCAGCACAAACATAAACTTCTGGAGCTCAGCTGAAATTTCTGAGATATGCGCTGGACCCCCTTTGTCGGCGCCTCTGGCGCCGCCCGTGGCGCGCTCCGCGCGCCAGGGAGGGGTCCTGCGCAGGTCAACAAAAATCTGCGCGGAGCTCCGAAAGTCTCTGTTTGTGCAGTTTTGTTTCGATTATTATTATTATTCTTATTGTTAGTATTTCATTGTTGTTATTATTGTTATTGGTATTCGAATATGATTACTACTATTACCAGTGTTAATATTCTTGTGGTTATTATGAGTATTATTAGTATTATTAGTAGTATCATTATTATTATTATTATCAATAGTAGTATCATTATTATTATTATTATTATTATTATTATTATAAATACTAGTATTATTATTAGCATTCGTGTTCTTATTGTTATTAGTAGGTGTTATTATTATGCTTGTTATTCGTATTAGGCTTATTAGGTTTGTGAATATTATTCTTCGCAGGCGGTGGAGGAGGAGGAGGCCGAGGAGTAGGAGGGGGAGGAGGATGAGGAGGCTTGCGGCTTGCGGCTGCCGAGGCGCAGGTCTGTGACTAGCGCCGAGCAGTGAGGAGGGCCAGGGGTGAAGGCCTGGCGACAGGGGGCGCTAAACGCCCCGAAGACTGGCCTCCAGCGTTGTGGAGAAAGAGCAGGAGGCCAACTCTGATTTAATCAGAGTCCGAAGCAGGCACCGACGGCGCCTGAGACAAAACTGTGCTCTCGGCATTCGCTCGGGACTCGAGCGAGGCGGCCGTGGGTGGGCAAGGACGTGGTGCACGACGGGACGACGTCACGACACGACCACCACAGTGTCCTTGCCCCATGCTATCCTGTTTGTCCGAACACGCAGAGTTAGCCCTAGGTCCAGTAGCCTCGGAAGACGGGAAACAAACGGCCCCAGGCTCCGAACCAGAAACAAGGGCGCCATCCCACGGACCCAAATCTTCGCCCGTCTTGGGGTGGCAACCTACCTCTGCGTGACGCCAGTACATTCTGTGATTCTGAATCGTGCTGGCAACCTTGGCCTCCCCTTCGCACGTTCTACTCAGCTTGCGGCATTTGCCGTCTGGGAGTATCCAGTATCCAGCACACCTCTGACATATGATCACCCTACCGTGGCGGACGGGCCTGTGACCCAGCGCAGCTATGGCATTCAACCCAGCCTCCAACGCGGCGTCGGTCAAGGAAGGGGAGGAGGGGTCCTGGCCCAGCGAAGGAGGAACAGGATCTGACACCGCGGGGCTGCTCGCAGTGTGGCGGCGTGCCTGGGGTTCGGCCGCGAAAATGATGTCGGCGCGGCAGCGCTCTAGATCGCTGCCCTGGCACCTCCTAGCGGCCCCGCTGCACATAACTCGCAGTGTGGCTTCGCTCCTGGCAGACATATTGCACTTCCTGCAACGCCATTCAGCACGCGTCGGCAGTCGATAAATCTCGTGCTCTATGAGTGTCAAATTGATTCGCTCTACATACTGGCTCACTGGAATCGTTGGGGGCTCAAACGTCTTAGAGTACTCCCCAATGATCTGGACCGCGCGCGCCAAGAAACCCCAGGTGGCTTTGCAAGCCTTCAAATGGGCCTTCTCCGCGTCAAGACAAACCTGCGCATACTGATGGTCCTGGGCTCCAAGGCGCGCGAAAAAGTCGGCCCAAGCGTTACCCAAGAAACTGGTGATCTGTCCTTGCTCCAGAGACATGACCTCGTCCATGTCTCTGTGTGCAGGGGCCCAAACAAACTCGGGCGGAGGCCTATGTTGCTCGAAGAGCTGGAAGATACGACGCCACACATCCGCGTGTCGTGACAAACCGCAGGCCATCTGGGGACTCCAGCTCTGGCCTTCCTGCACAAAGGCTAAATGATCACTATATATTGTGGTCGCCTGGGGGGCTACCGAAAGAGCCATCAAACCCGCGCACCGCTCCGCACGGGGCACCGACTGGCGCCCAGGGAGCGGCCCAAACACCGCCCTCAAGGGCAGCCCAGAGTCCGACAACTCCACCGCGGCCCATCCACACCTACGCAGTTCAGGGCTCGCATTCGCGAGCCCCGAGCCGTCAGTATAGATCCGCCGACCCCAGGGAAGATGCGTAGCCCCCCAGTGGAACACAGGGCACTGCGTGGGTTGGGGGGCTATCTTGATGGGATGGTAAGGCAACCCGTACAGCTCCAGAGAGTCCCACTCAGGGTCGCCAAGCCCATTGTCCCCAAGACCCCGCAGATACTCCCTGCGCTCCAAGACCTCTTCAGAAAGAGATTCAACAGACAGCTCCTCAGGTGGGTGAAGCACCCCTTCACAGTTATACAACTGGTGCCCTAAAGTGCCAGCCTCAGAACTCACACACATCTCGCACTGGTGGCTGTCCGAGATCCCGAGGGCCTTCTTCCTTGCTGGGGGCCACAATGCGGAACCAAGCAATCTGCGGGCGCAGCCTCTATGTATCGGATTCTTCAAGCTGAGAATTGAGTTGCGAAGTGCACGCCTCCAGACTCCATGGGGATTCCCAACTATAGGCTGCATGTGGCTAACAATACGTAACATCTGCCATCGTCCAATGCTCTGTCGCAGCAAAAGCTTCACATCCCACGGCGTAGTGGTAAGAAGGTTCACGAGGTTGCCCTGGTCGTCGTATAGTATATGTGCCGACGCCATCTTCCAGTCCACTCTGTGCAGGCTGAGCGACACCGCTGAGAGAGGGCCATTGCATCTGGCCCACGTGTATTCACCATTCCAAGCTTCCATCATGGCAGCCCACGCCCGCTGTAGCTGACTGAGGGGTACCAATCCATCCCACACTGTGATAGCATATCTGCATACTAGGTCTGTCGTGACGTCGAATATCGGGTCAAACCATTCATCGCTCTGTGTGGCAAGCCAAGCCGTAAGGCTGGCGTGTGATTTGGCTCCCACCAACGAGCCTGCCAGTGTGCGGAGCTTTGCCAGCGTGGCAGGGACGACCCCGCTAGCTCCAGCTCCATGCGCAGCAGCGGGCAGCAGGCCCGTGCGCCATAGAGTATGAACCTGGGCTCGTCCCCGTTGAAGCGCAGCCAACTTGCCCCTCCTGGCCAGGACGCCCATGATACGCTTTCTCTCTTGTGTACGTCTGAGTCGCACCCCCGCGAGCTCGTGTCCTAGATTGCGCATGTGCTTGTGGCAGCGAAACCGAATGAATCCCCCAAGCTTCTTCGCCACCCGTGTCGCCTCCGTAGTGCCACCCACGCATCCACTTTTGTCTACCTGAATGATGAGACCCAGCGGCTGCACTTGGCGAATAAACCATCGTACTGCATGAAATAGGACGACCGCCTGAGAGGGTTCTGCACCTATCCATTGAAAGCTGACGTCGTCCATCAAAGCTCGTGGCAGCACCTCCGCATACTTCCTGCGTAGGGCCTCCAAGGACTGGCAGAGAAGCAGGTGGACCATGGCGCAGGCGTGAGAGCATCCCGCCAATATGCCCTGCGCGGAGGTGAACTTGGTGGACAGTGAGCCGTAAGCTCGCACCTGCCGTGGTGCCTGATATGTGTGAATAAGCATCCAGAGTAATCTCATCGGAAATTGCATCTTACTGGCTCTGTCCAGCAGCGCGGTATATCGTATCGTCTCGAAACACTTGTACATGTCAATGAGTGCACTGACCGTATGCATGCCGTTGAGCTTCGCCGTCTCTGCAGCTATGTTGTGTTGAAACGCAGCGTCGGTAGAAGTCGCCCCAGTCCTCGTGCCCCAAAAGGCAGTCGAAGGGTTGGCGAGCTCCCATCTCTTAGATATCCTTCGTCGTAATCGGCTCCAAATACGGACCACAGTATTGATGAGCGCGATGAGGCGGTGGCCCCCCGTGGGCTTGGGGAGCCTCACTAGCACCGTGGTGACCCTCTGCGTCGGCCAACACGCCAACCTCTCGCATTTGTGAAAGAGAGATGCAAGGACTCCCAATCCAATGTCCGATACTTGGGTCAATGCACGGGGTTGAATCGAAACCTGCCCAAGCGCCGTAGTGGCTTTGAATCGTCTGAGTATGTTGCGAATATCATCGATTGTGATCTCAGGTAACTCCTCCCAATCTGCATGTCCTGCCGGCGTGGCGACCGCTGTGTCATCATGAATGGTCCAGACACCCTTCCAGAATTCCAAGCATTCGTCTGCCATGTGGTGCGGTTGGCCACGGTCCTTCTCGGCATACTGCAACGTCTCTTGTAGCTCGCGCACCCTGGTGTACCTGTGCGCTTTGCCAGCCCCATTTTGAAATGCCTGCTTGGCCCACTGCGCCCATTCGATGCCAGCAAACTTGCGTATGGCCTCCGTCACGCGATTCACCTTGTCCAGGGCTTGGTCTATCCTGTCTAGGAAGTCAGGCTCATAAAACCTGTCGTGCAGACTGTGGAGCTGGAGTCGATCTTCATAATCAAGCAGCGGCCCAACCCAGTCAGTACGTACAACTCGCGCGAAGAAACCCTGAAGGTCCCGACTGAGTTGCGCGAACAACCGCTGCTCCTTGGCCAGACCTTGGTCAAGACTGCCCAGGCTGTTGACGTAGTGTCCGTGCTGGCCGTAAATGTCTGGCAATAGTCTTGCGGGAAAACGGTTCGCATCTGCTTCCTCCATTATGCGCTGGAGGGCCGTGTGCATTCGTGTGTATGTGGAGCGTAGATGCCGACACCATTTGCCATACTGCTGGTAGGCGCTCAACCGCTTCGGTCTCGGTGGTACGACTGCCTGCACTCGCTTCCATACCCATTGGTCTGGGCCAGCTCGGCCGTGATAGAGTCCCCGCTGCGTCATGTCCATTATGTCATTGCGGTTGAGGATCTCATGCTCCATCGTAGCAATAACCCCATCCCACGCCGCGGCCAAGGTCACACCATCTGAAGCTTGATCGATTAGCTGCTTCACGCGTGCCCATTGCCGTCTGGGCGGGAACCTGGCACAACCCACCTTCGGCACCGTCGGGAGAGGTCGAGGTATAACAGGAACGCGTGCCCATTGCTCATGTGCGCAGTATTGGAACCCCAAATGCACAGGCTGATGCGGAAACGTCGCTGCCACTCCGACTTCACATCCTCGAATCCAATCGACCAGGGCCGCAGAGACGCAGAAGTAATCCCTGGTAGTGCCAGGTTGCGTGGCATTGCATGTGGGTTGGGCTGGGACCTGCTGAACTCCGTGTACCGAATGCATCCAGTCCAGTGTGCTCGATGGGTCCATGTTCCAGTCGCCTGCCACAATCCATGGCTGCCCCAAACCATTGAGCGCCTCCAGGTATTGTGCCAACGTGGTAAGCAGATCCATATTCTCTTGATTGAGCCCCACCGAGTCGACCAAGTAGATGGAGACCAGCACTGTGCCTCCCCGTGGACCCCAGCTGGCGTGCCCCACCGTGATTCGGCCTGGCGCGAGAGTCGGTGTGGCCAGCAGTGGCCCCATCCCAAGCCGCACATGCTTCGGTGCAAGAATAGCGCATCCTCCGCAAGTGCCGCCTCGGCCCGCGGGTGCGGCCGCAGTCCATACACCATGAAACCCGTGATGGCGCGCTGTATTCTGTAGCTCAGGGAGTCGCTGGTCATCGCCATGATGCTCCTGCAGGCAGACAATAGACTTGTGGCTGCGGGGCGCACTCAAGACTCCAGCCATGGCTCCATGCGACGTAAGGTTGGAGGTGAGGACCTGGTTCACGTTGGAGCCACTGGCATGCACCCCTTCGACCGAGCACACGACCAGGGCGATAAAAAAACCCCGATAACGGTCGAGGCGGTATCGACGAGAGCGGCCCCATGTTACGGGACCGCCCGCACGTTCCTGCAGCGTACACGGCGAAGCAGGAGTAGCAGCACTTCGTGAGCTTGTGCGACGGCTAGCGGCAGAGGTGCTGGGTCCCGTTGGCTCCCGAGGCGCGGACCTTGGGGAAGGTCTGACGACATTAAAGCCCGCATCCGCGCGGCTACCAAGGGAGCCCGTCGACAGCACTTGCCCTAGCCGCCCGCTGTGGAACCCTATCCTCAGCAGGATGTCGTAGATGAGGTTGATGTCCGTCCAAAACTTCACCAACCAGAAGACTAACATGAACTTTACCAGGTAGGCGAGGCCGAAAGCCGCTTTGTCCTGCACCACATTTGTTGTGTCATGAACTTCAGGCTTGACCCGTGCGCTGCCGTTTGGCCTGAAGTGTCCCCATCGCATTGGCCATTCGCTTGATGGCCTCCCTGACCTGCGCCTCCTCCTGCGGAGGGTCCTCGCCCGTGGCATTGCGCAGAAACTCCCGCAACTCGTCCAGGTCGTCTGTGTCCATGGGGACAGGCCTGGCTTGCGCCTCCTGCTGCTGTCCCGCCGACGGCATGTCTGCGGGTCCACTAGGCGCAGCTGCGCTGGAGCTGCCTCCTTCAGGTTGCCCTGGTGCTGGCGATGCGTCCGACTCTGCTGCAGCTGCCTTGTCCGCGAGCGCGCGCAGCTGGCTGAAGACCGTGGCCACCGACTGCGCGAGCTGGTCGTCCGCGCCCAGGCCCTGGAGCATCTCGCCCATCTTCTCGACCGAAATGTCGACTGCGGGCACGAGCGCGCGCAGGGAGCACTCGCCAGGTGCAGCCGTGGGTGCCTTGGCCGAGACTTTCCAGCGCAGCGCCTCAAGCTCCTGCACCTCGGCCGTGATCTCAGCGATCTGGCCCTCTGTCTCGGTGATCCTGTCATCCAGGCGCTTGCGCTGCTCCTGCAGGTCCTGCAGCGCGGCCTGGCGCTTGTCCTTCGCCTGCACGAGCGCGTCGATGCGGGTGGTATAGTGGTGGAGCTGGCCCGCGAATGGCTTCGCCTCAACGATGCGCAGCTTGATGGCCTCCCGTTCTTTGGACAGGGCCTCCCGCGCGCCCATGATGGCTGGGTCGGTGCTTGAGCCCAAGGCACGGAGGAGCGAAGCAATCTCTGCAAGCCGTCCCTGGGGGTCTTCAGCATCGCTGGCTCCCTCGCCCACGGCAGGGGCGCTGGCCGCCTTGAGCTGTGCCTTGAGCTGCGCGATCTCGCGGTCCTTGGCCGCCACATCTGACCAAGGCGGCACACTGTCCCCTTTGCGCCGCACATTGGTCGAGGCTGGCCTCTGTGTGGGTGGGCCGTCGGTGGGCTTGGGGCCTCCGAAGCTGGCCCCCTTAGCAACTCGACAGCTGGTACATTGCTGGCAATCTCCCCGATTCCACCACTTGGCCCCTGTGCGCGGGTGCGTACACCAGCGGCAGAGCCATGGGGCGGCCCAGGACCTGCGATCCGAGACAGCTGCGGACTTGTTCGCGGCAGCGGCATGCGAAGAGGAACCATTAGCCATGGAACGCGGGAAGAGGTGTGAGCAATACAGCGGTACTGTCTCGAGGATGTGTCGAGGATATGTGCCTTGCAACAGGCGAAAGCAGTTGGGGGCCGTGGATCCCCCCACGCCACACGTCAAGCCCTGAGCCTCACGCTTGAGCCAAAATGGCTACGGAGAGGAGGATGAGGAGGAAGAGGAGGAGGAGGAGGAAGGAGGAGGAGGAGGAGGAAGGAGGAGGGAGGAGGAGGAGGAGGAGGAGAAGGAGGAAAAGGGGAGGAGGAGGAGGAGGAGAAAGAGAGGAGGAAGGAAGAGGGTAGCGAGGAATAAGGAGAGAAGTTGGTGGTGGAAGAGAGGCCAAAGGCCCTCCAAGCTGCGGGGAGATGACTCGTAGGACAGGGGGGAGGAGTGGTGAGCAAGATGAGCAGCTCCCCCAGGCCTCCTCGGCCTCCTCCTCTCCTCCTCTTTCCTCCTCCTCTCCTGCTGCTGGTTCTCCACTGCTGCTCGTTCATCTGAGTCTTCTGCACGTCGTCCTTCTGCTCCTGGGTCTGCTTTTCCACTGCAGCATATTATGTCCCTGCCACTGTAGCAGATTATGATGCGACTATACTCCTCAGCGTCCGCTGTGCCCTTGCTCCTGCTTCTGCTGCTCCTGAGCAGCATATTCTTCTCCTTCTGGGAAGCATGTTCTGTCACTGCCGCCGTAGCCATGGGGCGCACTCAGGCCCAATGAGCAGTTGTGTGAGGCATGGGAGCAGCCCGCGGTCCCCGTGCGTGCCCAGGTGACGCTGCGAAGAAGCCCTGCGGGTAACGCGCCCCCCGGCGAAACGGGACTCAGGTCGTGCCCCTGCGCTGGCACCTGCTCTGCATTTTCGTTCGCGGAGCGGGGCGCAATCCCACGACACGCCCAGTCAAGCTCGCGCCTCGGAGGCGACAGACACACCTGGAGCGGCGAAAAGGCCGACCTGAGACAGGCGAGCTTCGAGGCCAGCATCAGACATGAAGACGACGCGACGAGCCCCTGATTGATGCTCCCGCTCCTGCTGATGCTACTCCTCCTGCCACTGCTGCTTTCCATCCCCGGGAAGACAGCAGAGTTCCCCTTGTCGGGCGCACGCTAGCATGGACTATGGATCCGCAGATCTGGCGCATGGGCGCCAGATCCACGTATGTGGCAGCCCCCCCCCCCCCCCGAAAAACGAGGCCCGCGCCGCCTGACCTGGCGACGGAGTACGCCGACATTGTAGAGAAGCGGGACACGTCGCTGATCCACGCGACTTCATCCATGTCTGCGCTTCCTCGGCCTTGAGGCCCCCCCGAGGCCACCGAGAGCCTCCCCCTCGGCTCTCCCTGCCGTTGAGCCCCGTGGCCTCTGAGGCCGCCATCCTTTCGGGGGGGGGGCCACGAAAACTCCCGGGCCCCGTCCCCACGAGACTGGTCCTTCACCGCGGGCTTTGCGCTTTGCGGCAAGAAACGACACGGCGGCACGGGGGAGGGGGAGTGAGGCGAGGTCGAGAAGAAGCTGGCCGTCGCATTTTCCTCGAACCGCATGAAGCCTGGCAGCACTAAAGATTCCCTCCCCCCTCCTCACCGCCCTCCTCCTCCTCCTCCTCCTCCTGCTCCTCCTCCTCCTTTTCTTCTTCTTCACGTTAGACCAACCTGAGCAAGAAGCTGTGGCGTCTAAAATATCAGAAAAAGAAAAATGCAACAACGAATCGGGTCCTCCTCCCCCTCCTCGGCCTCCTCTTTCTCCCCCTCGCCCCCCTCGCTTTCGACCCCCCCTCCTCCTCCTCCTCCCCTCCTCCTTCTCCTCCTCCTCCTCCTCCTCCTCCTCCTCCTACTCCTCCTCCTCCTCCTCCTCCTCCTACTCCTACTCCTACTCCTCCTCCTCCTCCTCCTCCTCCTTCTTCTCCTCCTCCTCCTTCTCCTCCCCCTCCTCGGCCTCCTCCTCGGCCTCCTCCTCCTCCTCCTCCTCCTCCTCCTCCGCCTCCTCCGCCTCTCCTCCTTCTCCTCTCTCTCCTCCGCCTCCTCCTCCTCCTGAACTCCTCCTCCCCCTCGCCCCCCTTCGCTTTCGACCCCCCATTTCGCCCCCCCTCCTTTTTTGCGCCCCCATTCGCCCCCCCCTCCCTTCGACATCTCCCGAGAGAGGGATGAGCCTCTGGGAGTACTCCGTGTGGAGCTGCACCCTCGATGCCTCGAACTCCAGCACCACCGCGTCCCTCTCCCGGTGGAACTGCGCCTGTGCGTCCTGCGGCTCGGCGAGGAAACGACGATGGAGGAGCGAGGAGGCAGGGAGGAGGGAGGCAGGACTGGGGCGAAGGTTGTCGGGAAACCAAGACGCATCGATACCGCTACTCCCTGGACCCCTCCCGGGGCGCGCTGACCGGAGCTTCAAAGCGCATCCAGCCGTGGCGACGAGGGCCGCCCAAGGGGTCCCCAAAGCGGAAAACCTGTGTGTGTATGTGTGTGTGTTGTGTGTGGTATCGGTACTTTTTCGTCCTCGGAGGCAGCGACGGGGGAGGCAGGGACGGGGGGATGGCTGGTTGAGCGCAGCCTCGAGGCGCAAGGACCGATGCTGTCTGAGCAGTCCCGCAACGTGTCCGCCCCGCGCGCAACGGTCGCAAGCCGTCCCCCCACCTACAGGAGGAGGTCTGCACTCACCTGGCCAAGCGGGCGACGACAAGGGGGAGGGGGAACACGCACCGGGGGTTGCTGAAGGTGCCCCTGGCCCAAGGTGCTCCCAGCTTTTCGTTCAATTTTGGAGCCAATTTGGCCGTCTGGGCCTCGTGATGGGCTGCTATGGAGGCCGTGGGGGTCTCCTTGGAAATCCTGGAGACACCTTGGGCCAGGGGCACTTCTAGCAACACCCGAAAATAATTCCAAACCATCTGCCAACCTACGGGTGCTCGCTTTGGGAACTGCCGTCGCTCAGCGGTTCATTGGGGGGAGGCACAAGGGAGAAAATAGGGAGGGAGGAAAAAGGAAGGAGGAATGAGTGGAGAAGAACTCGCCGGTCCAACGGGCCAAAAACGTGGTAGAACCTCTGGCGCGAACTTCTATAATAATTGTATATTCTACATCGCCGTGACGAAAGTTTCTTTCCATTTGCTTTTTGGAATGACGCGCTCGTGCGGAGTCGTCCGGAGTAGTTTTGCTAAAACTACTCCGCGCGCAATCGCACCCCGCTCGATAATTTATATGGTCTGGCGCGGAGTAGTTTCCGATCCCGGTTTGGGGTAACAGAGTTATTAACGTCTCCGGGATCGGAAACTACTCCGCCGAATGATCCCAGCATCATGTCACGTTAGGAATCTCGAGAGGGATGGGGGAGATCTTATCATCACAAATTGGAGAAACTTTTGTCACGGCTGTGTAGTTCACGGGCTGGTCCCCCCAGACGTCTCAAGGAAGCCTGAAGTCGGCACACCTCGGCACATACTTTGCTGATCATCGAGCCACAATTCCTCGGTCAGCCTGTCCAAAACGGCTTAAGGAAGCCTCAACGCGGCACACCGCTCACGCACTTCGTACCCCATGAGTCTCTCGAGGTCCTCAAGCGGCTCTCAAGCCTCCCGGCCCCGAAGCTCATGGCCCCAAAAGGCATTGCAGCTTGTTCGGCGTTTCGACCTTGGGCGGCAAGGGGGGGGGGGAGGGAGGAGAGGGTCTGGCTCCGGACCTCTGCTCAGTGCGACTGTTGGCAAGAGTGCTGCCTCTGGGGGAGACTCCACCCGCTCGAAACAGGCGCCTAAAACCACTCAAGATCTGCTCCATGGGGGGGGGGCAGGGGGGGGATTGAGGGCCCGCGCCGATCGGCAAGCCAATAAATAAGAAAACGATCACAAGCCCCCTCAAGGGCTTCAATGTTTCCCGAGAGCCGCGCGGAACGGTGGGGACCTCGTGGCCGCAGCACGTGCCCGACTCCTCATGAGGCTCTCGAGTCTCCCGAGGCCCAGGGTGCCTTCCTTTCACAGGGTGTTAGAAGCGGCGGGCAGACGGTTGGGAACGAGCAGGCGGCCACGCATAGCAACATTGGATTAAGGACATTTGGAAAAGGAGCGTCCTGGCATCCACGGATATGAGTGGACCATGCAAGGAGGGAAGGAACCAAATCATGAAGAACAGGCGCGGCGAGTGGGCAGTCGAAATAGCGCGGATGATGGTCGCCACCAACTGCGCCGCAACCGAACCTGCAACTCATCATACATTGTCGATGTATCTCAGCGGTCGGCCAGGCATTGTTAATATCACGGCGAGGGGCCGAACGGTTATTCACTGTCCCTGGACGCGTGGCTGAAGAGAGCTTATGCTGGTGGTGTTGGTTGTTGTTAGTTGTTATGTTTGTGTTGTTGTTGCTGCTGCTGGGATTGCTGTCTGACGGCTGCTCTTTGTATCTCAACACGTGTTCATGCAGTTCTAATGAATGCATGTCCCACTTCATGACGTGAAGTGTTGCGGCATCTGTCGTATCGCATCCCTGTCTCTCGTTCGATCTGGGTCGCGTCTCGTTGTCTGCCGCGGAAGCTCCTCCCGCCCGTTCTGGTGTTTCAGCCCTTCTCATCCTTGATATCATGGTGGCGCCGCCTCGCGACACACCCAGGATGCTGGAACGCTGGAGTAGCAGGTGGGATGACCTGAAAGAGGGGAAGGGGCATCGCACCACCACAGAGCCTCAGCTACCGCCTTGACCGTCGTCGGCGGCGGCGGTGGCGAAGTCCGGCGAAACTCACCTACCCTCTGTAAACCCAGGACAATCCGAAGCGTCCGTGAACGCGGGCCCTGAGGAGGCTCATCCCTCCCGAAACACGCCACATGCCAGAAGAGCCACGCGTCAAGAAATCCCGCCCTCCCCCAAGCCCTGCCACCTTCTCCGCCCTCGCCTCCTCCTCCTCCTCCTCCTCCTCCTCCTCCTCCTCCTCCTCCTCCTCCTCCCCCTCCCCCTCCCCCTCCTCCTCCTCCTCCTTCTGCTCCTCCTCCTCCTCCACCTCCTCCTCCTCCTGATCCTCATTTTGCTGCTTCTCCCGCTTCCAACTCCTCCCCCTCCGCCTGCTGCTTCCTCCTCCTCCTCCTCCTCCTCCTCATCCTTACGCTTCGGCGTCGTCGCCATCCTCCTCCCGCCATCCGAAGTTTCGTGGTCCGTTTTGAGTATCGGTTGGGTTTTCGGGCCCTCGCTCGGTCACCTCTCGGGCAAGCTCGATCGCTTGTCGGTTTCGGCCCCTGTCCAGGGGAGCAGGCGCTTGCTGCCAACCCACGTTCAAACAGTAGATCCTCCTCTTCCTCCTCTGCCTACTCGACTTGCCTCAGGCTCTCGGAGGTTATCTCAAGCACCCTGGCTGCAATCGAGCAAACTTCACAATCGTTTGCACCGCCTCCAAGCTGCCGACAGTCCTGGATGGTCTTGATGAGCTCCTCGGCGAGGCCGTCCACTCTCTCCTTGCGGTCCCGAAGCAATCAGAGAGCGAGCTCTCGGAGGCAGATCCCTAGAGGGGCCCCAGCTGAGCCTGCCAGAACGTGAGGCCGATGCCCCGCCACCCGAGCGCACTCCACGAGTGCCGCTCTGCGGAGATGATGTGCTGCAGGCAGGCAGAACCAAGTGCATTACACTTGCAGGAGGAGGAGGAGGAAGAGGAGGAGGAGGAGGAGGAGGAGGAGGAGGAGGAGGAGGAGGAGGGGGAAGGAGGAAGGGGATCAGGAGATGTGGGCGGAGAGGAGGAGGAGAGGAGGAGAGAGAGAGGCAGGATGGAGATGAGGAGGAGGGGGGGAGGATGAGTTTTAGGAGGACGGGGAGGAGGAGGAGGAGGAGGAGGAGGCGGATGAGGCGGATGGAGAGGCAAAGGCGATGGCGTATGTAGTGGAGAGGTTCGATTGCGCGGAGGGGCGGAGAGGGGCGGCAGAGGGGGGGATGAGAGTCGGACGCGGAGGGATAAGGAGGAGTGCGGAGGCGGAAGCTTGCGGCAGAGGAGAGGCGGCGGGATTGAGTGCTTAGGATTCGGAGGAGGCTTCAGCTAGTGTGGAGAGGAGACCCCGCCGAGGCCCCATCTCGCTCTGGAGGGGGTGGCGTCCACCACCGCCCCGTGTTCGCCCGCAGCACCCCCCGCGGGGGATCAGAAGGCCACCGGCTCGAGGCTCGGCGAGGGGACCACGAGACGCGGACGGCCACGACTCGCGACGCCACGGAGGGGCCACGCACAGCTGGCCTCCACGGGCCGCGGCGGCGTCGCGAGCTCCTCGAGCGCGCCGCGGTCGGCAATCGGGGCCACGGGGGGCCCGAGAGGCCCCGGGCGGCCCCTGGCCGTCGCGAACGGCCCGAGGGGCCACGAGAGGGGCCACGGAGCCGCGGGCGAAGGAAACGCTTGCCATCTCCCGAGCTGCACTCCTTGGAGAGGCAGCGCGGCCACGACGGTCCGCGAGGCGCCACGCTTGCCATCGCTCGGACGTCCATTTCCCGTGCATTTTTTGGTTTCGTGCGTGTTTTTCTTGCTCGATGATCCAGGATGGTCCTCGATGGCCCTCGCCGAGAAAAAGTGCACACGTCCGAGCGATGCCAAGCACGAGGCCACGGGGCTCCGCAGCGCTGGGAGGGCAACGGCAGCGTGTCAGCGCCACGCCCCCGTGGGGAACCCTTCCGCGCCCTGCCGCTGAAGAAGCACCCCGAGTCTTCGGGCTGACGGGGGCGGCGCGTCACCCATAATGGCACTACTCTTTGTTTCCTGTCGAGTCGCGACCTCCTGAGGATCTCTTTTTCGCGGTGGGGGTGGGGGCGGGGCTGGGGTTCTGGAATGGGGCGGGGGGACGGGCCTCGGTGCAGGAGTGGCGTGGGGGGGGAGGGTTTCGAAACTGGGGGTGACCCCTCCCCTTCCCGAAACTGGGGGGCGCGGTGGCTCCGCCAGGGTCCGCACGCCCGACTCCCGTCCGCCGCCGCCGCCGACGACGACGGCGACGAAAGCGACGAACGATGACGACGACGATGACGATGACGACGACGACGATGACGATGCCAATGCCGATGATGATGATGATGATGATGATGATGATGATGATGATGATGATGATGATGATGATGATGATGATGATGAGGGGGAGGATGATGATGATGCTGACGATGAAGTTGACGATGTTGGTGTTGATGGTGATTATTATTGTGATGAGTGTGCTCATGCGGAGGATGCTGATGCTGATGATGCTGATGGTGGTGGTGATGATGGTGGTGAAGATGATGGTGACGATGATGACGATGACGTTGATGATGATAATGACTATGACGATGATGATGATGGCCATGATGGTGATGATGAGAAGGATAATCCTGATGATGATGGTAGTGGTGGTGATGGTGATGAAGATGATGGTGATGATGACGATGGCGATGGCAACGATGATGATGATGACTATGGTGATGATGCTGATGGTGGTAATGATGATGATGGTCATGATGACGATGATTAGGATATAGGCGATGATGATGGTGATGATGGTACTGATGATGAAACTGATGGCGATGCTGATGATGATGATGCTGATAATGATTGTGTTGAGGATGGTGAATATGATGATGATGATGATGATGCTGATGATGATGATGATGGTGACGATGATAAGGAGGCGGATTCTGATGATGACGATGCCGATGCTGATGGTGACGATGATGATGCAGATGCCAAAGATGAATGTACCGATGGCAATGATGAGGATGTTGATGGTGATAAGGATGGTGATAATGATGACGATGATGATGATGAATCTGAGGTTGCAGATGAGACTGCTGGTGATGATCATGATGATGGTGGTGATGGTGATAAAAGAACTGATGGATGTGATGAGTTTAGTGACGATGCTGATGCTGATGCTGATGAGTATGATGGTGATGACGATGACGATGACCATGACGATGACGATGATAACGATAATGATGGTGACGATGCTGGTGTTGATGAGTATGGTGATGTTACTAATGGTGACGATGACGACAATGATGATGATGATGATGATGATGATGATGATGATGATGATGATGATGATAGTGGTAGTGATGCTGATGGTTATGATGGAGACGATGATGTTCAAAATGATTATGTGGATTTCGATGGTGGTGGTGATGATGAAGATGATGGTGATGATGATGACGATGACGATGGTGATGATGATGGTGACGAAATCGATGATGGCTGTGATGCACCTGAGAGGATGAAGATGATAATGATGATGGTGATGGTGGTGGTGGTGGTGATGACGATGATGGTGATGACGCTGATGATGATGACGATGACGACAATTAGGATGATGATAATGATGGCGGTGGTGATGATGATGATGATGATAGTGGTGGTGGTGGTGGTCGTGATGATGAAGATGATTGTGAAAATGGTGGTGATGATAATGACGATGGTGATGATGACGATGATGGTGATGATGACGATGAGGATGAGGACTAAGATGATGATGATAATAATCATGTTGATGTTGATGTTGATGCTGACGCTGAAGCTGATGATGATTATGATGCTAATGATGATGATGATGATGATGATGATGATGATGATGATGATGATGATGATGATGATGATGGTGGTGGTGGTGGTGATGATGATGATGATGATGATGATGATGTTGATGTTGATGTTGCTGTTGATGATGATGACGATGACGATGACGATGACGTTGATAATGACGACGGGAACGACGCGCACGTCAGGGTCCGCCCACCCGACCCGCCCTTCCGAGCCCCCCCGCCCGGTGGGGTCCGCCTGAACGCTTGCATCCTGCTTGGAAACCCGCCCGTGCGCTTCCATGCTCCGCCCGCCCGACCCGCCCGTTGACGTCTGCCCGCCCGGCCCGCCTGTGAGGGTCCGCCCGCTCGCTTGAATGTCCTGCCCACCCACCAGCCCCACACGCCCGTCAGGGTCCGGCCGCCCGATCGCTAGCATGCTAGCATGAAAGCGCGACAACCCGCTGATCACACCCGCATGTAAGGGTCCCGCCCGCCAAGCCCGCCCGCTTGAATATCATGCCCGCCCACCATGCCCGCCCGTTGGGGTCCGTCGTCTGCGTCGTTGTCGTCCTCGTCGTCGTCGTCGTCATCGTCGTCGTCGTCATCGTCGTCGTCGTCTTTATCGTCGCTGCCTCCATCGTTTTTCGTCAAAGTCGCCCTTGTCGTCGTCGTTGTCGTTGGTTGTCGCTGTCGTCGTCAAATCCGTCGTCGTGGTCTGCGTCGTCGTTGTTGTCGTCGTCGTTTTCGTATTATATCATCGTCGATTCTCGCAGTCGCGGTCGTTGTCGTCGCCGTCGCCGATGTCGTCGTCGTCGCAGTTGTCGGCGGTGCTGTCCTCATCGCCTTTGGCTTCGTTGTCGCTTGCTGGCGGTCTGGGGGCCCACCACCCTTGTTCCGGAACTGGGGGGTCCCCTCAGGCCCCCCGAACCGTGGGCCCGCCCCAGCACTGGGGGGCTTGGTGTCCTCACATGCCGGGGGGAGGTTTCCAGAAGTCCCCAGAGGTGCCTTGAGTGAGAGGCCTTGAATGCCCTCTCAGCACGGTGCCGCGGAAGTCCCCCCCCCCCACACCCCCCCCGGCGGCCTCCCCGAAGCTCCAGCCGAACCATCGCCGTCTGCCCATCCTCCCGCCCCTCCGTCTGCAATCCCCACCAGCGATGCCGTCGGCTCGCTGTCCTGTCCCTGTTTCTGCCTCCGCCTCCTCCCTTGCTGGGGTCGCCCTGGTGGCTTCTGCTTCCTGTGCCCATGTACGTCTGTGGTGTGCGGTCCTGCGTCCCCTTGCTGCCCTTGGCATGGTGTGCCTGCCGCCCCTGTGCTGGCCCCCAACCCAAGCACCCCCCCCAAACCCCCCCCTTCTTCGCTCTTTCGTGGCGACGAGGCCAAACTCCTACACTCCACTCTCCTCCCGAAAGCCCACGAGGCCCAGAAAAAACGACGACGCGGAGGACCGATAAGGAACGGTGCAAGCTCGGCGTGCGCTAGCCTGCGAGGAAGGGGAGGGAGAAAGGAACAGGTAGGAGGGGAGGAGGAGAGGAGGGGGAGGGTGGAGGACTGAAGAGGTGGGGAGGGAGGGGGGAGGAGGAAGGAGGAGGAGGAGGAAAAGGGAGGAGTAGGAGAAGGAGAGGAGGAGGTAGGAAGAAATCCCCAGGATGGAGTGATTGCCTCGGCCTCATTCGAGCGGTTAAGAGTGAAACACAACACACATTTGGCAGCCACGAAAACGACGCTTCGCCAAACTGACTAACTGTGCCGATGCCGTCCCGCCCAAAAAGAGAGAAGCGGGATGACGAGCAGCAGGAGGAGGAGGAGGAGGAGGAGGAGGAGGAGGCCACCCGAGAATGCAGGAGGACAGAGGCGGAGGAGGAGGAGCAGGAGGAGGAGGAGGAGGATAGACGAGGAGGGAAAGGAGAAGGAGGAGCGAGGAAGAGGCAGGGAGGAACGAGCAGATCGCGAGCAGAGAGGAGGAAGGGGGGGGATGGACGACGGGCCCAGACCCCCGACGTCGTGACTTTTTCACAACGTCGACCCCCAAAGTCTGGAGCCTTTCCCCAAGACTGGTTCTTCGTCCCGAGTCGTTTTTGGACGGTCCCGAGGCCCGGGAAGGGCCCCCGGAGGCCGAAAAGAACGACAAACCTCCCGTCGCGATTCTTCACGACGCGAGGAGGTCTGGGGCTTGGGCCCCCCCCCGATGGGCCTGTTTTCTACCACCACCACCGCCATAAGTTGGAGGGGGAGGGGGTCCTCGGTCCTCCTCCTCCTCCTCCTCCTCCTCCTCCTCCTCCTACTCCTCCTCGTCGTCCGCCACCTCCAATCCTGTGGCGGTGGTGGAAAACGAACCCATCGTTTTTTGACGGTCCCGAGGCCCGGGAAGGGCCCCCAGAGCCGGGCGCCAGGGGAGGGCCCCCCGGAAGCCGAAAAGAACCGCAAACCTCCCGCCGTGGTTTCTCCACAACGCGAGGAGGTCTGGGGCTCGGGGCCCCCCACCCCGCGGAGGCTCCAGCCGCACCACCGCCGCCTGCCCGCCCTCCGCGCCGCCCGGGCGGCCGTCCGCGGCGCCGGCCGCCGCCTCGCCGCCCGGCACCGCCCCGCGCATGCTGCGCGTGGGCGGCGGTGCCGCGCGCGGCCGGCCACGGGCCAGGGCGGCTGCGGCGGAGGACCCCTGGGGGGTCTGCAGTCAGCCCTTACAGTTGGGCAGGTCCCCCTGCAGGCAGATTCTGGAGGGAACCTGGAAAATAGTTAAACAAGAAACAGAAATGGCAAAAGACACCCAACTTGCAAAACATGGAAAGAAAAACATAACAAAAAACCCAACTCGTCGCTAATTTTTAAATACCTAGGAGTATTTCTCCTGTAGAGGGACGTGCCCGACTTAAGTCAACCCGTATAAGAACCCAGACATGATCGCGTCGTCAAAAAAAACATGACGGGAAGTTTGTCGCTATTTTCGGCCCCGGGGGAGCCCTCGCCGGGCCCCGGGGCTGTCGAGAAACGACTCAGGATGAGAAACGGGTCCAGAGGAAAAAAGGGTCGGGACTTCCAAGGACGCCGTCCTGAAAAAATCAGGACGTCGCATGTCTGGGAAGGACGCACGATAAGGATGCAAGGACCTTGGAAGGCCATGTCGACACTTTGCGAGCGGGGCGCGGCCAGCGAAAGCGGCCAAGGAAGGGTCGAAGGGGAAGGATGCAGGGGTAACCTTGGAAAGGCGCTCATCCTTACCACGCGGGTTGACTCTGCTTGTTCTTCAAAGCGTTGGGTTTTTTTCGTTCTCCGTTTTCCACTTTTCGCTCTTGACTCGACCAAAACGTGTGAAAAACAGCACCCTGGAATGTGGACGTCGGGCAGGCGGCACTGTGTTACCTAAAAACGTATTTAGGGGGTTTTCAAGAACGACGCTGGAAAAAAACGGCACCCAACATGCAAAGGAAACGTAGACCTCGAAAGCGGGAGGAGCAACATAACCGCCCTTCTAGCTTGCTCGAGACCATCCAGCTAAGCCCTGGCGTCTCATTTCTCTCAGGCTGGGCACGTTGTCCCTAATTTCGGACCCAGGGCCCTCACAGATCGAGGCGGCTCGGCTCGGGTCCGGGGCTCTGGTCGTGATTTTCCACGGCATTGGAAGTTTCCATCGCTACGTTTAGGTCGGGCATGTCCCCCTACAGACGGATTTTGGGGGAAAATTAAAAGTTATCAAACAGTACTCAAACATAGCCAACAAATAATTAACCATTCGAATAGTTTAACAATCTCGGATATTCCTATTTTTGAATATTCCTCCTGTAGAGGGACAGGCCCGACTTCACGCTACGTCGGATCTCAGGGGAGGTTCCTGGGCAGTAGTGGGTCCCTGTTGGGCTGCGCCTCCCTGGGGCGCCCGTGCTTGCCACGGCGGGGTCCGCCTCGAGAGGTCCCGGCCGGTTCGCGCGCCCCAGGAAGCGCGCGAGGGTCATGCTGCCCCCATCCGTACTTCAGGACCACATCCGAGAGATAGCTTCGGGCACCCAGAAACGTGTCGAAACGGTGTCGAGCGGGTGTCGCCTCCCAGGGCCCGACACGAGAAAACCCTCGGGTTTCGGTACTATCTCCTGGTGCTCGAGACTCTTTCTGGTGCACAGGGCTACAGTGGGTTGGAACATCATAGTGCGATGGGGACTGCCCTCCCTGGGCCCAGGCACCGTCAGGTCGTGAGAGAAGGAAGTGGGCTTGGCTTAAAGCTGTTCTGAAATGGCGTTGCCTTGCTGTGCTGAGCGGGATTTGACTGTCCACCAACATCCAAGACTGCAGCAACAAACTATCACAACAACACGTTTGCTTGCACAATCTTCCGATGTCAAAAGCACAGCACCAAGCCAAACAAATGACCGGAAGCGCGACACATGCCATGACATTTGCACATCAGATGGTTGGCGCTATTCCACCGTCTGTGGGAGCCTGGTCGAGTAGCGATCGTGGCCACAAAGAGAATGGGAAGCGGTGGAAAGAGGGAGGGAAGGATTAGATGGTGAGGGATCGATGGAACAATCCTCGATGAGGTGGATATGGAAAACCATGGAAAGAGAGGGGAAGAGAGGTGCGGGAGGGGCGCAAGACGAAATACGTCACGCTTTTCCCCGGAAAGGGCATAGGCCCAGGGTTCTCTTTTAGTTTGTAAACCTGTCCCCGGTGCCTCAACTGAGGTGGGCCGGCGGATTCTTTCCCTGATAAATATCGAGGTCGAGGTGGGCCGGCGGATTAAAATTTGAGGATGTCTCAAGCGAAACGCTTGTTTTTGAAATCCCGATCGAAAAATCACAGGGTGCGGGCCACCCCAGCACGACCCCACCCCAGCACGACCCCACCCCAGCACGACCAAACCACAGCATGACCACACCCCAGCACGACCACACCCCAGCACGACCACACCCCAGCACGACCCCACCCCAGCACGACCCCACCCCAGCACGACCCCCCCCCAGCACGACCCCACCCCAGCAATACCCCACCCCAGCACGACCTCACCCCAGCAAGACCATCACCCAGCACGACCACACCCCAGCACGACCTCACCACAGCACGACCACACCCCAGCACGACCCTCGCCCCAGCACGACCACGCCCCAGCACGACTACGCCCCAGCACGACCACCCCCCAGCACGACTACCCCCCCAGCACGAACACCCCCCAGCACGACCACCCCCCAGCACGACCACACCCCAGCACGACCACTCCCCAGCACGACACCGCCTTGGTTGAGTGATTGCCTGTCGTCGTGGAATGTTTCGTGGGGTGTCTCGTGGACTGTTTCGCGGGGTGTCTCGTGGAATGTTTCCAGGAAAACGTTGAAAACGGTCGCCCGTGTCTCGTGGAATGTTTCGCGGGGTGTCTCGTGGAAGTGCCCGTCGCCTAATAAGGTGTCGTGAAAACGTTTCCATGCATGCGGTTCTAAATCCCTTTCCGGGTTCGTGGGTCCATCATGTTGTTCACATATCGCCGAATCCGTTTATTGCGAACTGCGCGACCACGATGCCCACAACCTCGTTATGCACACACCCTCTCACTCGTTCATAGATGTACAGATGTATACGTACCGTATAACTGCACGCTGGTTAGCTAGCTCTGGGCTCTAGGCCCCAGGGGACCGCGCTTTAGGGGGAGAGGGGTGGCGGTGCAAACCGCAAATATCAACGTCAACACACATGAATTGCAACATTCGTCGTTAGGACGTTCAACACTACACATACGAGCATGATGCACTCGAACATCGAGATCATCAGATACCGCCCCGGGACGCAAACGGCAAATTCAACGCGCCAAGGGGTCTTTCTTCCTTTTCCTCCTCCTCCTCCTCCTCCTCCTACCCCTCCTCTTCAACTCCTCCATGCTGCTCTGGCGGGCCTTTGAGCAGGAACTGGTAGCTCCTTCCGTCGGATCCGATGACCTGCAGTATGCGCGGCCGCTGCTTCGATGTCACCACCTAGCGGGGAAGGGCGCTGAGGGCGACGAGAGTACCGCCCCTCATCCTGTGCCTTGTTTCCTGATCTCCTCCTCGTCGCACCACCAGACGAGTGGGGAGGGCGGTGAGGGCGCATGGTCTGAGACCTCCTCACCTACGTACCATAGATGGCTCTCAAGCTTAAGAGTCAAATAATGAGGATTCAGAACGGGTGGGTCGCAAAATGCGGCTCTCGACTCAACGCCGCGCGTATTCGCATTGAACGCTTCAAGCTGTTACACGGAGGGCGGCTTCATTTCAAAATGTAGCTCTCACCTGGGAACCGAACAGACTCGCTCGAAACGTTACCAACAGCTACACAAAATGGGGATTGCCCATTTATTTGTTGCCAATGGAGCAGCGATTACACGGATGGAGATTGGCTCATCTTCAAAAGGGGCTCTCGACCCAATTGCCAGGCCATGGGACACTCGTTTTCAAGGGAGGGGCGTTTCCCGCGGCGAAGAGGAATGATCTGAGATTTGTGATGAGAGGACTGAGGGCAGAGGCGTGCTCTGCAACATCTTCCTCCTCCTCCTCCTCCTCGTCCTAACGCGTCGTGGAACAAATGTACTGGCGCACCCAACGTAAAGCAAGCCGCACAATCAACGGCCCAGCCCGGAACCCATGATGATATTGAGAAGACGTGCGATCCCCAATTGTATAGATTCCGACGATTGTGCTTGCACTTAGGATTGTGGATGCCACGACAATGGATACCCTAACAGTCCTAGCATTGAATGTAAAATGTGTTCAACATGTCAGGAAATGTTCTAAAAATATGTCAAACATGTTTTGTTACCATGTTTAAGACATGTTTGAAACAGTTATCTGGAAATGATTTGGCAGCATGCTTCCTCGCAGTTGATCGACTTCCACAAACTTAGGAGCTCGTCACTCAGGAGCCGGATGGGTATGCCGAGCATCCGTCGCAGTCTCGCCCGCTGCCGCCCGCGGGGGCATGCCGAGGGGGGGCGCCCCGTGCCGCACCGCCGCGCTGCCGCTCTTCTTGTCGCATGGTGCGCCAACGTCGCTGCCGCGTTGTGCACTGCGGGAGCCTGCCAAGGATTCGCCACCTCGCCGTGCGTTGCCGCCCGTGGGAATACGCCGAAGCCTCGCCACATGGCCGTCCGCTGCCGCCCCTGACATGGACGGTGCCCCACGAGGAGTTCCACGCACGGCCCCAGGGAGCAGGCTCGAAGGCGCCCCCCCGCCCAGTTCAGTGCACCCCTCACGCGGCCTGCGCCCCCCACAAGGTCATTCCGCGACGGCCCCAAAGCGGGGGTTCCCATGGCCTCTGCTCCCACATTTCGGCACACCCCTGACGCGGAACGTGCGCCGCAAGGAGCTCCACCTAAGGCACCAATGGGCAACTTCGCATGGCTTCCCCACGCAAACTTCGGCGTGCGCCTCACGCGGATCGCGCTCCACGGGTAGCTCCACCTACGGCCTCAGTAGGAGCGCCCACGTGGGGTCCACCCTCTTCACGCAGATCGCGTCCCACAAGGAATACAGCGCGCCTCTGCGCGTTCCTATCCGCACTGCCCCGCGGCGCGCAGTTTAGAAGAGAGGGTCGCGCCCTGAGCTTCACGCAGCTGCATAGCGTTGGGCCCTTCGCCTG